GAAGTCTTCGGGGAATGTGGACATTTTTTAAAAATTGATAAGCACTAGCCAAATATTTATAAAACTTTGGGTAGCTATACCAACTCAGCTTGCCTGGGTATTTTCCAAAACTGCCTGATAATTTGTCTGATCCTGCTTCTTTCATTCATTCAGCAAATTTACTGAGTGCTTGCTTACAGTCCTGGCGTGCTGCAGTCCACAGGGCCACAAAGAGTCAGACACGACTTAGCTACGGAACAACAACTATGTTCCAGGCACAGGTCAAAGCCCTGAGAACGTGATAATAAACAAGACAGATGGAGTTCCTGGTTCAGAGAGCTCAGTTTCTCTTAGGGAGGCAGAAAACAAAACAAAATGATCTTTAACATGTTAGGTAGTGATGAGGGCTATGGAATACAGCTAAGGTTAGAGAGAGATGCTGCTTTATTAGGTAGCACAATGGCCTCTCTGAAAAGGTGGGCATTTGAGCAAACACCTGCTTAAGGTGAAGGAGCCTGTCACGCAAGTGAGGCACAGAGAGTGGAGAGTGGATTCTGGCAAAAACACAGCTGGAGAATGCTTGCTGAGGTCCAGGGATACAAAGGAAGCTGTGACTGGCGCTCAGAGTGAAAGTGAGTGGTGAGAGGCCAGCAGGGGTTTGGGGAAGGTCTTGTGTGGACTGGTTTGTAGGCGATGATGAAGAGTTTGGATTTTAGCCTAATTTTGATGGGACGTCCCCTCGTCTGTCTTGCTCACTGCTACATCACCAGGGCCATGGACAAGACCTGGCACATAGATAGTACAGTTGTTTGTTTTTCCCAAATCCACCTGTAGATTTAAGCATCTCCAGTCAAAATTATAACAGGATTTTATGGGGGACTTGAACAGCAAATCTAAAATTTTTATGGTGACTTCCCCAGCAGTCTGTGGTTAAGACTCCCCCCTTCCACTGAAGGGGTGTGGGTTTGATCCCTGGCTGGGGAATACAGCATGCCTTTGGCATGGCCAAAACAAATTGTTTTATATGGATGTGCAAAGGTCTGAGAACAGTCAAGACACTCCTGAAGAACCAAGATATCAAGCCTTTATTACATTTTAAAGTTATAATAAGACAATGTGATCAGCTCAGGATCAGTGAAACAGACTAGAAGCTCAGAGAAAGAGCCATGCATATAAAAAAGCCTAATATACATTCGGTAAAGAAGGAACTATTGGAAAAAATGAAAATATATCCCTTTTCAGTGCCACACCCAAAACTAAATTATGGATGGATTTAGGCCTTAACTGTAAAAGGCAAGACTTTATATTTTTTACAAGGACATCTAGGCAAATATCTTCATGACCAAGGAAAAGAGCTTTGGTAGATCTTTCATAAATTCAACTACATTAAAACTGGGCACTTGAATTACGGCTAATGAGACTGAGAAACTCAGTTTTATTTATTTATTTTTAACTAAAGAACATTTGTTTTTTCACCAAGACTTTATCTTGCGGACATAACTAAACTGCGCCACCACTCCCCACCCCAATTTGAAGGAGGATTAGTACAGTGGCTGCTATAAAGCAAGTATGAACAGTTTGAGGGACTGGAACCAACGTTAACTGACAAAAACCAACTTTCATCTAAATCATCATAAAAATGTTTAAGTAAAAAAAAGGGGGGGGAGGGAGGCAAAGACGGTTTCAGATTGAACAAGATCATCACATTTTATCTAATACATTCAATTCTAGCTAGGGTGTACCAAAATGGAAACATGATAAATATAATACAAAACTTCCACTACAGCACACTGCACACAGCTGTGTTCCAAGCCCACTCCCATCCCCCTAATGCTTCCAAACTCAACTGTTTCCCAGCCTGTTGAGCCTGTTGATGAAGGAGCACGTAGATCTTCTCTTTAATCCAATGTTTGTTATAAGGCTGGTATGTCTGGGTATCAGCTCGGTAAACAACGCAGCTGAGGTTTGCTAGGTCATCAATAAAATCAAACAACTGACTGATATCATATGTGATAAAGGGGCTGTTGGGATTCATTCTCTTCAGATTTCTTCATACATTTTACAAACACCTTCCATACACTCATTCACAGATTCACAGCGTAAGTTCTACCTTCTGGCCTCTTGGTAGGCTATACCAGTAAGATGATGTGAGACATCGCGCCTAAGTCTCCCGCTGCAGCCCAGAAACTCAGTTTTAAATTGTATTTAATTTTAATTGTCGTCACATATGACTAGTGGCTGCTATATTGATAGCACAGATCTAGAGTATATGAAGAAGATAGAAGAGGAAATAGGATGGAATAAACATAAAAAGCTGGGGTTTCCCTGGTGGTGCTAGTGGTGAAGAACCTGCCTGCCAGTAAGAGGCACAGGTTCGATCCCTGGGTCAGAAAGATCCCCTGGAAGAGGGCATGGCAACCCACTCCAGTATTCCTGCCTGGAGAATCTTGTGGACAGAGGAGCCTGGTGGGCTACTGTCCATGGGGTTGTGAAGAGTTGGATAGGACTGAAGTGACTGAGCATGTACGCAAACATAAAAAGTTGTTCAAGGAGGTTAGGAATAAACAAATTAAAACCATGATGAGATACCACTTCATAAGCTGCAGATGTGCAGGGATTAAAAAGTCAGACAATATCTACTGTGGTGAGAGTTTAAATTGTTACAACCCCTTTGGAAAACAAAGTTGAGCAAGAATAGTTCCTGGATCCAGCAATATCACTTCAGTTATTATAGAAGAGAAATTACCCTCAGTCTGGCCTGTGGGTTTACATAATTCACAAACAGGTAGCATTCCTAATAACATATTTGAGCAATTTTATGATAGATTTTAACCAAAATAACAAAATAAGATCTCTTCTGAGATACTAGATACCCATACTTTAATTTGAGTCTTAACTTTTTTTTTTTTTTTTTTGGCTGCACCTCATGGCACATGGGATCTCAGTTCCCTGATCAGGGGTTGAACCTGTGCCCCCTGCATTGGAAGCTGGAAGTCTTAACCACTGCACCACCACAGAAGTCCCCAAGAGTCTAAAGATCTTTTTATTTATTTATTTATTGGGTCTGAAGATCTTTAATTAGATGTTTCTATTGTACACAGTCTAACAAAGATTACTGTGCTGATGTGATTTGTAAGAAGTTGGTCTTCATCCTCATTGCTATGATAGAGCTTCTACACCCTAGAAATTTTCTAAGTGGTCAGAGTGATAAAGATGTCTTATTATTCATAATGAGCACTTTTCAACCTTCCCAGAGTGTGTTAATAAGGTGACTTTTGGAAAGGCCTTCAATTTTGGGGTTGTCAGAAGGTTGGAAGCTTAAGCCCTCCTCCCCCACCTTGAGGGAGTAGAGAGAGGGCTGAGGTTGAATTAGTCATCAGTGGCCACTGATGGCATCAATCACACCTACGTAATGAAGCCTCCATAATGATGTATGGCAAAAAACCATCACAATACTGTAAAGTAGTTCTCCTCCACTTAAAATTACAAACAAATCTCTAAAGTACAGGGTTTGGAGAGCTTGTGACGGTCAACAGTGGAGATGGGACGAGTGGCGGTGAGAGTGGTCCCAGAGAGGGATGGAGGGTCTGTATCCCTTCCCACATTCCTGGCCCTGTGCGTCTGCTCCCGAGATATGTCCTCTGTGATAAACTGGGGATCTGGTGGGTAAACAGTTTTCCTGGTGTCTGTGAGCCAGTTGAACAAATCAGTCAAACTCCAGGAGGAAGGAGGCCGTGGGTCTGGGTCAGAAGCACAGGTGACAACCTGGACTTGGTATGGGCGTCTGGGGATGGGGAGGTGAGGGGACAGTCTGGTAGGACTGAGCTTTAACCTTTGGGATCTGATGATAACTCCAGGCAGATGGCATCAGATTGAGTTAAATTCTAGGACACCGAGCTGGTGTTGGAGGATTCCTTGGTAAAGGACCACACCCCCCTACCTTGTCTATCAGAGCCCTTTGTTCTTATAGCAAGACTGTAATAAAACCTTGGCATGTACTCATAATTAAGTTATCTGAAAAGATTTTTAGACACTATATCCTAGAGAATTGCTTGCACACCTGCCCTGGGGGATATGAACAAGATTGATCATACTAGCAAAATCTAAATCTGTGACATGGACATTGTGGGATGTTCATTCTGTGAATACTGTGCACCAGTGAACATGTATCAGCTCCAACTACACAGGTCCACAGGGATGACTCACAAAAGAATAGCCTCAGAAGAATGCATACAGTACTATTTTATTTACATAAAATTCAAAAACAAACAAGACTAAATAACATCTAAATAGATGTACATTGTTTGTTGTTGTTTAGTCACTAAGTCATGTCTGACTCTTTTGCAACCACATGGACTGTAGCCCGCCAGGCTCCTCTGTCCATGGGCTTTACCCAGGCAAGGATACTGGAGTGGGTTGCCATTTCCTCCTCCAGGGGATCTTCCCAACCCAGGGATCGAACCTTCGTCTCTTGCACTACAGGAAAATTATTTACCGCTGAGCCACCTGGGAAGCCCATTTAGATATACTTACACAGGTGATAGGGCTTCCCTCATAGCTCACTCAGTAAAGATTCTGCCTGCAATACAGGAAACCCAGGTTTGATTCCTGGGTCACCTGTACCACCATCACCACACATGCGATTAGATAAGCCTCAGAGTCAGGGTAGTGGCTGCTTCCTAGGAAGCAGGGAGGGGGATGTTGGGAACGTTAAAAAAAATGAACAAAAGCTCCATTCGTTAATCTAGTTGGACATTCTTTTAATTAGTGTAATTTGACCTGTACATATATATTCTGTACATCAGTTACTGTAACAGTGAGGGGCTGCATCTCCCAGGCACAGGGACCACTGCCAGGAGGAAGCTCTGACTCCTGGCGCTCTGCGGCGGGACTGCCAGCAGGTATGGATGCAGGTGCCAGCGTGGGGCCCCTGTCCTCAGAGCAGGGACTGCTGCAGCTCAGACTGTTTACCTGAAAACAGCTGGGTTGTATTTGTGGAGGGTATTTATGGGCAGCAAGGTATGGCCACCACACCTCTGGACGCCCTGACTTGGGACTGCGGGGTCCTGAGGGGTGTCTGGGCGGGGGCCTTTGGTACCGTGTGAAACCCAGTCAGTTAAGAAAGGAGCAGCTTCTTCCTTGGAAAAAAGAACATACAAAACAAAAATGCTTAAGGAGCTAAAAAGAGTCACTCCGCTGTGAGGGAGTAGGAGGGGAGGCAGGAGTCTTGAACGCGGGGAGCTCATTTGGGAGGCTCGCATTAGCTGGGGCTCCAGTGAGCACAGTGGGTGTGGGAGGAAGTTTCAGGCAACCAAAGTCATTGCCCTTCTCTCTGGCATGAGCCCTCCCACCTGCTAGCTGTGTGAGCAGGAGTTATCTACACCCTCAATTTCCACACCAGGAGAATGTGGACACTCACTGTGCCTGCCTGTCCTGAGGACCGTCAGACACAGTAATGTGAAGCACCTGTTGGCACTGTGCCTGGTGCTTACGAAGGTCTCAGGACCACCAACCACGTAGAATTGCCCAGAAAGAGGGGTTTTTTAAATTTTTTTTAAACTCAGGAGCAGTCAGTCAGCCTGCCAGCTTGTGTCTGCCCGAAACGGAGACTTCATGTTCTGATCAGCACAGAGTTAGTGGTGGCCCCGCAAATCCTCAGAAAACAGAAGTTGCCGTTGGCATGTCCGTAGGAGGGAAGAGAAATTGATATAAATAGCAGCAGGGACAGCAACAAGCCTGTCACAGGACTGGAGAGATTTGGGTGCTCCTGTGGTTGACAGGGACAGTAAGTCTGGTCCACCCTAACCTCTGCTAGGTGGTTTCTCCACCTGCAGGTAGTCGGAGAGCTTGCAGGTAGCCTAAAGCCTGCCTGCGGGTACAAAATGATGCCTCCAAGAGTGGGCACTGACCCCCGAAGCAGTGCCTGCCTGGTTTGTGTGTCTCAGGGACTCCTGCCCTCTGGTGGCGGGTGTGGATTCTGCATGCTCCATAGAGCTGAATCAGCCTAGGCTGTGCAGTCCATGGGGCTTCCCAGGTGGCGCTAGTGGTAATAAACCCGCCTGCCAATGCAAGAGACATGAGACACCCGGCCAGTTCAATCCCTGGGTTGGGGAGATCCTCTGGAGAAGGGCATGGCAACCCACTCCAGTATTCTTGCCTAGAGAATCCCATGGACAGGGGGGCCTGGTGGGCTACAGTCCATAGTGTCGCCCAAAGCCGGACATGACTAAAGCGACGTAGCAAGCAAGCAAGCAAGCAAGCAATACAGTCCATGGGGTGACAAGAGTTGGCCATGACTTATCAACTAAACAACAAAACCAACCTTCAGTCTCAAGCACAAACTGTATCAGAAGAGCATGCTTGCCTTTGGAGGGCAATGTTATTTACTCTCTTATGCATCTATATTTCTAGCAATTCTGGCCAAAATCATGGGAACTTATGCTTTAGAAAAAAGCAAGTTGAATACATTGTACTATTTTCATATTCCCTTTTCCTAAAATCCTGTGCAGATTTGTCAAGGGTTTTTACGTTTTTCTTTTCTTTTCTTTTTTATGTTTGTCTTTTAAAGTTGAGTGTTCCCTGTCATCTTTCTGCCAGCACATTATACTCTGGGTCTATCTCTCCACATCCTGAGTCACCAGAGACCTTGTTATGTTGGTTTTAGGGGCTGGACTAGAACCAAAAGATGCCCACTTAAATTTTATTTATTTATTATTTATTTGGCTGCACCAGGCCTTAACTGTGTGTGGCACTTGGGATGTTCCATCTTAGTTGTGACATGTGGAATCTAGTTCCCTGACCAGAGATGGAATGAATTCTGGTCCACTGCATTAGGAGCTTGGCGTCTTAACCACCTGGCCACCAGGGAAGCCATGCATATATATAATAGCTAAAAGTAGCCATTATCTTCCAGTTCTGGAGGTCAGAGGTCCAACGCAGATCTTACTGGATAAAATCAAGGTGTCAGTCAGGCTGTGTTCCTTTTTATTTTGGCCGCACCACATGGCATTTGGGATCTTAGTTTCTCGACCAGGGATCTAACCTGTGCCCCTTGCATTGGGCGTACAGAGTCTTAACCACTGGACCACCAGGAAAGTTCCTACATTCCTTTAAAGAAATTTTTTTAATTGAAGTTTATAGTTATTTACAATGTTGTGTTTCTGCTGTACAACGAAATGATTCAGTTACGTAAATATCCTTTCTTATATTCTTTTCCATTATGGTTTATCACAAGATACTGTACACAGTCCCCTGTGCTATACAATAGGACCTTGTTGTTTATCCATCCTATATGTAATAGTTTACCTCTGCTAGTCCCAAACTCCCAGTCCTTACCTCCCCCCTCCCTTTCTCCTTGGCAACCACGAGTCTGTTTTCTATGTCTGTGAGTCTGTTTCCGTTTTGTAGATATATTTTAGATTTTACATATAAGTGATGTCATATGGTATTTGTCTTTCTCTTTCTGACTTACTTCACATAGTATGATAATCTCTAGTTGCATATATTTTAAATATATATGTCTGGCCTAGAACTCATATCCAGACATAAAGAAGTCTTATGTATCAAACAAGCCAATTTAGTGCCTGTCAACAGGCACTTTAGAGAGAAAATGTCCAGGTGGTCAATAAGCACATGAAAAGGTTTTTCAACACCACTGCTTGTCAAAGACATGCAAAAACCAAAACAAAACAAAACACCAAAAAGGCTAAATTTTAAAAGACTGACAATACCAAATGTTGTGAGGGTATAGCATACCTGTGACTCTCATACACGGGTGGAGTATAAAATGGTATGGCCATGGAAAGCTCTTTGGTAGTTCTTGTAAGAGCATACTGCTAATCGATGACCCAGCAATTTCACTCCTAAGTATATACCGAAATGTGTTCACAAACAGACTTATACACAAATGTAAATAACAGCTTTATTCATAATAGCCCCCAAACTGGAAACAACCGAAATATCCACCAACAGTAGAATAAACTGTGATGTATTCATGTCAAATACTACACAACAGCAAATAAAATCATGATACACAAAACAACATGGATGATTTTTAAAAACATTATAGTGAGTGAAAGATGTCAGACATGCTGTTTTTAAAGGTTCAAGAGTAGGTAAAACTAATCTCTGGTGATAGGAGTCAAAATACTGGTCCCCTCTGTTCTTTTACCTGAGAGAAACTCTCTAAACTGCTGGAAGTGTTCTATATTTGAGTTGGTGGTGGTTACCTAAGCTGTATATTTAAGATACATGCATTTTGCCAGCAAAGGAAACCATAAACAAGGTGAAAAAGACAACCTGCGGTAAAGGAGAAGATCCTTGCAAACAGTGTAACCAGCAAGGGTTTAACTTCCAAAATAAACAGACAGCTCATACAATTCAACAACAAAGAACCAAAATACCCAATCAAAATATAGGCAGGAAATCTAAATAGACGACATGAAAAAAAAAGAAGACATATAGATGGCAAACAGGCACATGAAAAGTTGCTCAGTATTGCTAATTATTAGAGAAACACCAGTCAGAATGGCTCTCGTTAAAAAGTCTACAAAAAATGCTGGGGAGGGTGGAGAAAATGGAACCCTCCCACACATTTAAATGGTAATGTAAATTGGTACAGCCACTGTGGAGAATAGTACTTAAAAAAAATGAAAAGTAGAATTGCCATATGATCCAGCAATCCCACTCTGGGCATTTATCTGGACAAAGCTATAATTCAGAAAGATACAGTCATCTCTATATTCAGAGCAGCACTATTTACAATAGCCAAGATATGGAAGCAACCTTATTATCCATGACAGATGAATGGATAAAGAAGATGGGGTACATATATACAATGGAATATTACTCGGCCATAAAAAGGAATGAAATAATGCCATTTGCAGCAACATGGATGGACCTAGAGATTATCATACTAAGTGAATTGAGTCAGAAAGAGAAAGAAATACCATATGATACTACTTATATGTGGAATCTAAAATATGACACAAGTGAACCTGTTTACTAAACAGAAACAGACTTACAGACATAGAGAACAGATTTGTAGTTGCCAAGGGAGAGGTGAGTGGGGAGTGTTGGATTGGGAGTTTGGTGTTAACAGATGTAAATTATTATATATAGAATGGATAAACAACAAGGTCCTATCAAACAGGGAATATCAATATCTTTTATAATAAATGTAACAGAAAAGAATACAAAAAAAGAATATATGTATGTATAAATGAATCACTTTGCTGTACACCAGAAACTAACATTGTAAATCAACTATACCTTAAAAAAAAGTTGAACCCCTCCAAAAAAAGTCACAAAAATTGCACTTTAGCAAAGTGTCAATTATTTCATCTTCCTTTTTTCCAATATCTACTGTATAAAAATTTTAAAGCAAACTTGTTAAAAAGTTAAATCAGATTTATTTGAAATTTACCTGAGTGAAGGAGTCATAAACTGGCCCAAAGGTGGCAGCCTAGGAAAGAGTTACACAGATGGAGTGTCTTAGCTACCCTTGCTTAAAAAGAAAAAAATCATTTAGTAAAATGCCATCTGCTGAGGGAAATCGACACAGTGTTTAGCTCGGTGAATTTTCTATTTACCAGCAAGGTATAAATGTAATAGAAAAACAGTAGAAGAGTTTGGAACTAGATCGAGGTGGTGGCTATACAGAACCATGAATGCAGTGTCAGTGAACTGTACACGTTAAAATGTCTGTTATGTGACTTTCATCTTAATTTTTAAAAGTATTCAATAAAAAAGTAGAAGACAAAAGATATGTGCATTTTGCTGTGTATAACTACACACCTCCAATGAACCTATAATACATACAGCTAAAGCTGTACTCAGAGGGAAATTTATACTTATTAATATTCCTTTTGGACAGTGACTGCAGCCTTCAAATTAAAAGACACACTTGCTCCTTGGAAGGAAAGCTATGACAAACCTAGACAGTGTATTGAAAAGCAGAGACATTAACCTTGCCTGCAAAGGTCCATATAATCAAAGCCATGGTTTTTCCAGTAGTCAGGTACAGAGAAGACTGAGCACCGAAGGATTGATGCATTCGAATTGTGGTGCTGGAGAAGTCTTGAGAATCCCTTGAACTGCAGAGAGATCAAACCAGTCACTTCTAAAGGAAATCAACCCTGAATATTCATTGGAACAACTGATGCTGAAGCTCCAATACTTTGGCCACCTGCTTCAGAGAGCCCACTCAATGGAAAAGACGTTGATGCTGGGAAAGATTAAAGGCAAAAAGGGAAGAGGGTGGCGAAGGATGAGATGGTTGGATGGCATCACTGACTCAATGGACATGAATTTGAGCAAACTCTGGGAGATAGTGAAGGACAGAAGAGTCTGGCGTGCTACAGTCCATGGGATTGCAGAGTCAAACACAACCTAGGGACTGAACAACAACAAAAAATACTAAAAATAAAAAACCTCTATTTAATTCAATAAACTAACGATAAGATAAAAACAACGAAGGTGAAAATTAAGGAAGTAGGGCACACAAAAGTAGAAAAATTGGTAAATGAAAATGTTATTTCTTTTAAGATCTGAATAAAATAGGGTAACAAAATAGGTTTGGAAAATATTTGAGTTCCAGCAGTGGTTCTTCTGAGTTTGTCTTTAAATTGGTGCTGTGATCAATAGAACCATAATAATGGAATTTGGTGTGGAGTTCATTCATTTATTAAATTTAAAAAATCTGTTGACCATGGAGCTCCTGAAGACTCTGTTTTATAACCTGTCAGGAAAGCCCAAGTGTAAGGACTCTGATTTCAGCTGCTGCTTGTCCTGGAGAGGCAGGTCATTTATCCACATTACCTAGCTCATTCGGGCGCGCGATGGCTCCTGCCAGGCAGGTGCTGTCCTCATCGGAGATGAAGTTGCCTTGGGGTACCTGCTCGCATACGACTGGGAATTCAGGGTGACCCAGGCCTCAGGAAGGCAGGAGGAAGCCCTCAGGGGTTTCAGGGGGCCCGGAGGCGCCGCGGCAGGTGCAAATGGGCCCCGAGTGTCGGGAACCGAGGCCCGAGGCGCGGTCCCGCCGGGCTTACCGGCTGGAGCGGCGCAGGTGCGGGCCCCGCGGCGGGCAGGGTTGGGTGCGCTCGCGGCGGCCAGGTGCGGGCGGGGAGGGGGCCTCTGGGCGAGCAGCGGGAGCGCTGGGAGACCTTCCAAAAGCGGCAGAGGCTCAGCTTCGAGGGCGCCGCCAAGCTGCTGCTGGACACTTAGTGAGTGCGGCGCGGCCGGGCCGGCGCCCCTAACGTCCCCGTGGTGCTCGAGCCGCGCACCGGCCGGACAAAGGCCTCCGCCCAGCCCGCGCTGCGCGCCCAGGCGGCAGCCTTCCTGGGATGAGGGTCGGCGCGGCTCCCCGGTCCCGGGGCCTCTTTCGTGTTTGTGCATGTTATGTTTGGAGAGCGGCTGTGAGGGCAGGGCCGGGACGAGAGGCGCTGGGATAGTTCGGAGCCTCCGGGGAGGCCGGCGGCCCGGTTACAGCGCGCGTACTGCGCGGAGCTAGGCGGCGGGAAGACAGAGCGGGCCTCTGGCTTCGGAATCTCCGCGGGCGCTCCAGGGCCCGGGGCTCTGCTTCCCCCATCTTTGCGACTGCGGGCCGAAGACCCCCGGCTTCCCAGCGGCCGCAGAGGACTTTGGACGGTCCGTGGGGTTCGCAGTGAGCTGTTAGCTCCGGGGGGGGGGGGGGGGGTGCCTCGTCGTCTAGATGAGGCCCCTGCCCTGTAGCGCCCTTAATATTTCATTGTCAGTCTTGTTTTAGTAGAACCCCTTCCTCCCCAAAACAGAACAACCCAACAATTGCATAACAACTTGAGGATCTCTTTTTCTTAAAAGTGTTTTTTTGTCTCTTGTCGGTAAGAAATTCTCTTCGTTAGGCGAGTCTTCTCAGAGATGGAATATTGGGTTTTCCCTGTGCTTCACTGTTTGGTTTATCATCTTGGACTGTAGGCTGAACATTTTAAAATCTACATCATCCCACAATTTTGAGCCCTTAAAATGTGCCAGCTACTGCCCAGTGTCATAAAACGCAGATTTGGAGTAAATTTAGACTTTAAAACAAACTGATAAATGGCCAAAAAAAAGAGAAAGATTTCAAAGTGTTGAGGTGAAAGAATGCTTTTTTTTTTTTTTAACCTATCAGATTGGCGCAAGTCACATTCAAGAAAGAAAAACTAAATTTAAAGGAAAATATATAACTCTTCACTGTTGCTGTTAAACATTATTGTATGAATCTGGAGGAACATAGAGCAAACAGTTAACTGTGGGTCCCTCTGGGTGTTAGGAGACTTTCACCTTTAGCACTGTCAAATGTTGTAAGGTTTGTTTTTTACCATAAGCATCATTTGTGTATGCAGGGAAAAAATATATCAAATTAATGGAGTCAGCTTGTATAGAAACATGAAAAAGCATGCAGTCTTGGTAACCAAATAAATGCAAAATAAAACTGCAGCAAGCTACTTTGCCTGTAATTATTGCTAGAGAAGATTCAGTGAAATGTTTTCTCATTCATTACTGATAAAGAGTGTTCAGCCCTTCTGGAAAGTACTTGGATGATATATATCAAATGTTAATAATGTCCAATGAAGGACCTGACTTACAGGTTTTAAAGGGATTAAAGTTGAACATAATGTGTACAGATAGCTCTGTAAAAAGTCACATGTATGCAAAATACAGGAGGGAAATACAGCAGAGTTATAGGAGCCTTTTGTTAACTTTCTCGAAGACTCTTCTGAACTACTGAACTCGGTCTGGTCCCCTTGTCTTTCTTTTTCTTAGCAGCCTGTACACCCTTTTTCACAGTCATGTAAATATTCAGTAATTTGGGTAATGGCTGCTCAAGGTCCCTAAGGGCGGGATCCTGTCTACTGTCCCTTGTTTTTTTATTGTCCTGCTTATAAAAAAAATCTTAATTAGTACTGACCATATAAATAAAAATGTTCAGGTGGCTGGTTTAGGATCTTCACCCCAGTTCTCTCTTTCCCATACATTGGGAATAATTTATTCTGCAACTTAACAAAAAAGAAGTGGAAAAAAAGAGCTCGTAGACAAAGAAGGCACTGAATCCTTTTATAAAACTGAGGACGCCTCCTCAAAAGCAGAAACGTGTCCCTGTTGTCCCGTGAAGACTCCAGTTCCATCTTGTTGCTCTCTTTCCACTGCGGCCTGACTGCTTAGGAATTCTAATCTCTCTGATTTCTGTTCCCTCCAGCGAATACCAGGGCCTGGTGAAACACACAGGAGGCTGCCACTGTGGGGCCGTGCGCTTTGAAGTTTGGGCCTCGGCTGACCTGCACATCTTTGACTGCAAGTGAGTGTCTTCTTTTCCTATATTGTTTCTAAGGACAGAGCGCGTGAGGGTGCTTCAGCATGGTCTGGGGAGTTGGGGTCCAGGTGAAACGACCATGGCCGTGAGCAGGGAGTTGGGGTCAGGTGATGGGTACATAAAGGTTCATTTTCTGTTTTTTCCTTTTATGTGTGTTAGATGTTTTCATTAAAAATTTTAAAGATGGCGGGAGGCTAAGAATAACAGCCTGCTGTGTGTGTGACACAGCTCATCCCTGCGGCACAGCCTCAGGGACATGGAGGAGTCCCTCGACTTGTGTCGGGCAGTTTCTCAGAGAAGAGTGCCACCCGTGTGTGGGAGAGAGTGGTACCCTGAAGATGGTTGGGCTGGATGCTGGATGAAAGGCCTTGGGCAGAGTCTGCAGAACTCCACAGAATTGGGTGGGGTGAGGCAAATGCGTGCACACCTGGAACCTTGGCATGCCCCAGGCCACCTGGCCCATTTGTCTAGGTGAGGCTGGTGACGCTACCAGGGTCAGCAGAGGGCCTGCTGTCAGCACCTGCCCGCCTTGTAATAGATAGGTCAGGCCCTCCAGGCTCGACTTCTGACCTGTGGTTGGTGTGTAACTGACTGTTCAACAATAGCCAGTTCTTTCTGCCCCTTGGTGCTGTGGTGCCTGGGTTATATGAGAAAAATAAATAAATTCTGTGGAATTCCTCCTGCGGGGACCTGACCCAGTACTAACAGATGGAAGAAGCCACCCCATGGAATAAGCTGTTAGAGGAACCCGTGTGGAATTAGAGTTTCGTAAAAGGCGGACTAAAACGAGGGACCTAGGTTTACTTCTGAGGACCTGTGGGCTGTGGAGCTGGGCTTCCTCTGATGCGCGGAGGAGGTCAGGGCACCTAGGCCTCCTTGTCTGTTTCTGCTGGGGATGTGGGTCCCGAGGTGGAGAGCGGAGATCTGCCTGATGCTTGTTTTCTGTGAGTCTCCAGAACCCACCCTTCCCTTCAGTTGTAAACTGAAGCGGGGGCAGGGTGGGCAGCAGGAACGTGGTTTTGCACGTCCTGGTTTTCTTAGGCCTGCACTGCTGGCTGTGGACCTGCGGAGCAGAGGCCCCCAGGCACCCAGCCCGCCTGCCCGAGCCACCCTTCCTTGGAGGGCAGTGAGAGGGCCTTCACCTGCATGGTCAGCCGACTCCTGGGACGGGGAAACCCAGGAGGCGCATAGGGTTGTTCACCATCTGGGGTCTGCTCGTGTCTTTCCGTAGCTGCAGTATCTGCAAGAAGAAGCAGAACAAACATTTCATTGTCCCGGCCTCTCGCTTCAAGCTTCTGAAGGTGAGTGTTTTGAGCAGGGCTGGAGGGCCCTGCCCTGGCTTACAGGGGGCCGGGGGCCTCCTGGGCCTCTCAGGGGCTTTACTTTCCCTGTCAGTCAGGTTTCATGCTTCTCTTTAAAAGGTTATGTTGTTTTTCTCCTTTATGTTTTGGATACATATTTGATCCATTATGTACAAACAATGGAGGATCAAAAAATAAATTTAAATTTAAGATCACCCAGATCCTATCAATCAAAGGTAACCATTATTGTGTTTTGGTGTGTGTCGTTGTGCGTTATTTTGGACATGGATGAATACATCTAAATGTATGCGTTTTTCTCAGCACAGAATCTTAACCTCTTTTTCTGTTTCATAACTGACTCTTACCATTTCCTAATGAAAAATAAATAATTGAAAAGATTTTTTACTTTATTCTTTGGGGGAATTTTTTGTGCTTGATCCCAGCTTTGCAAGGTACAGAGTGAAAGGCCTTCCTACCACCATCCCTCGGCCCCTGGCTTCTCCTCCACCCCCTGCCAGCCACAGCCACTTCTACTTGTACAGTTATGGCTGTATTTGTAGTGGTTTTTGTTATATGAATGTACCACAAGTGATTTTCTACACTTAAACGTCTAGGTTGAGTGCAGTGCTGTCTTGAACCTCCCAGTGTGTAAGTCTTTAATAATTTAGAAATTGTTTCTTTGGATTAGTTCTCTTGGAAGTAAAATCTCTGGTCAAAGAGTACAGAAGCTTTGGCATTCTTGCTCATGGGGTGGGATGGGACTGTGATTGATCCTCGGGTTCCATTGCCTGCTGTGGTCTGATCAGTGTCTTTGCTTTGGGGTTGTGATCTGTGTGAGGGTCTCCTTCTCTGGGTCAGGAGGGGCTCCTGGAAGCACTTCTAGTCATGTCTGTGCTCCTGGCCCCGGGGCCTTGGAACTGAGTGGCCACTCAGTGAGCGTCTGGAAGGAGAAGCTGAGATTTAATCCCAGGCACCTTGGGTCAGTTTGTCTGCTTTTCTTTGTCTGCCCTGGATCTTTCCCGTGGGTGTCTTGTGTGGGGAGGAGGGTGCCAGTGGGCAGCAGGCCTGCCCTTGTCTTTCCCACAAGACCCCCTCCCCTGGGTGCCAGCTAGAGACTGTGGCCCGACCCCCTGAGACAGATGGTCCCCGAAGACACATGGGCAGCCAGGGGCCCTCGGTTTCAGAGTTGACAGTTACCCACTTTGTAACCCCCATGGGCCCGCTCGTCAGTCGGTGCCCTGGTGTTTACTGCACTGTTCTCTTCTCTGACCCAGCCTGTTGAAGGAACAATTTTCTGTTTGTTCTTTAAAATTAAGTACAGAACTCATTCTTTGATTCAGCAGTGTTTATGGGCACCTCCTGTGTGCCAGGCTCTGTCACACTGAAACCCAGCAGTTTATGTGGCAGACAAGGCCCTTGTCCCCTCAGAGCTTGTGTTTTACGAAGCGGAGACAGAGAAATAAGAGGCCTGGAAATGCCGTGTGGAGAGTTAAGCAGGGCAGCGTGGCAGAAGCTGGCTGGTGGCGAGTCTCAGTGGGCTCGGGCAGGCCCCTAGAGATGAGGTGGGTTGGGGGCGCACACTCTGCATGTCCAAGGAGCTGCAGGTTGGCCTTCGTGCCCAAAGGGTGGAGGCAGATCAGTGGGCAGCCTGGAAATGAGCATCCTCAGAATGGAAGGACTGGTCAGGCTCAAAGAATGTGACCCCTGGGGTCGGGAGAATTGACCATGGGTCTGTCGTCATGGTGGTGATTTCTGACAGGGCAGGGAGACAGAAGTGAGCAGGGAGGTTGAATGTACGTACAGGGCATTACAACTAAGATGGGCCATGTGTTCAGCAGAAATTTCGGGGGTGGGTCAGGCTGGTGGGTGGATGCATGAACAGGGGGGAGTGGGGTCTGTGTATCAGCACCGGGCCCTCATGCTGATGAGACCCAGGAGGCTGTGAGTTTCTTCAGGGGGAGTGTTTGATCAGATAATCCTGCGTGGTTGGGGACCACGTGACTGTTCTCTGCTGCCTGTGTGTGGAGGAGAGGTCGGCGGGGGGGCGGGGGGGTTTGAGAAGAGACCCCTCAGAGAGCCACTTCTGTATGTGGCTCTGAGGGACCCTCTCCACGGTGATGGTCGGGGAAGACATGTGGAAACCTCTGACCCTTCAGAGTCACGCAGTATCTCCAGAGATAAACTACTGCTTTCTCAGTTCTTTCTTTGAAAGTGCATGCCAGGGTGTGTGCTTTTTAAAAATAGGAATGGTAGTGTACTGCACAAATTGTTTCAAACCTCGCCTTTTCAGTTCCCTCTGTAACCTTGGAGATTGTCTGCTTGTTAGTATTTCTAAGTGGAATTGCCTCATTCTTTTCAAAACTCGAAGAGATTCCATTCTTATGTCTGTACTTGATTCCTTTAACTAATCTTCTGTGGGACAGTTTCCATTTTTTTATAAGGTTTCGCCTTTACAGATGGTGCATTAACACCTATATCCAAATGGTTAGATAAAATACAGAGTTTTAATGGCAGGATACATTCTTAGAAGTGGCATTGCTGGGTTAGAGAAAAATGTGCATTTTGCAATGTTGGCAGGTGTTATCCAGTGTTGTGGATTTGTACTCCTGTGACTCACATGCAGGAGTGCATGTTTCTTTACACACGCAGTTCCAAGTAAGCTCAGTTGGTGATTTTTGCCTGGGACAATGAAGAGCATACCTCACTGCAGTTTGTGAGCGTCTGTATCGTGTTGAAGGATAAAGAGAGACTTGTTCTCCGGTTTCTCTGAACTATCTGTGCACATCCTCTGCTGGGTCTCCTGTCCGTGTCTCCATTAGGGATGTTAGCCCGTGATGTCCGGCATGTGTCCTTTCCTGGTCCTTTGTAGATGAATTTGAGTCCAGTGAGCATGTTCTCAAGGCCTTGAGCAGTGCTGTCTGGGGACATGGGGACCCAGTCCCTCACTTGATGCCGCCTCATTTAGGCCTGGGCCACAGGGGGAAGCTCAAGGTCAAAGGTTTTGTGTGCAGCTGACCCAGGAGGACCCCTGAGTTGTCACGCTCCAGGCTGACGGGTCTCCAGGTGGTAAGGATGGGCCCCGACCTCAGACTGGATGTGTCCTCGTGACCCTGGGAGCCAGACCAGAGGGCGATCCCCACTGAGATTTTTAGAGGGTTTATTTCTGTAAAAGACAACTGAAACTCCTTGTCTGTGTCTCTCAGGGAGCTGACAGCATCACCACGTACACCTTCAATACCCACAAGGCGCAGCACACCTTCTGTAAGCGCTGCGGCGTCCAGAGCTTTTATTCTCCCCGCTCCAACCCTGGAGGCTTCGGTGAGTGGACAGGGGGGCAGGCTCCAACCCCGGAGTCTTCGGTGAGTGGAGTGGGGTCAGGCTCGGAGCACCGACACCCTGTGGCCGCCTGGAGTGAGATGCGCTCTGGGAGTGGGTGCTGGAGTCTTCGGCCAGCCTCCTGCCTGGCCAGGCCTCTCCCTTGCGTGTGTGAGAGGAGTGGGGCTCGTCAGCTGAACTCTTTGCAGACATGACATAGCCTGGCCCTGGACCTCCGGAGGCCCTGCGGTCCTGACTTGAATTTCCTGCTGCTGTGGGAGCGGGATGCTGCTGGGGGACCCACTGCAGGGGGAGGATATGGGGCTGGGGTGGAGGTGGGGGCGTGTGAAGGAGGTAAGGATGAACAGCAGTGATGATGCCAGTAAAACTGGGCTTGTTCAGACACAAACAGGGAAACCCCAGGTCCCTCTTCTTGGATCTGGGGGCAAAACCACCCTTAGACAGTTGTTAAGAATGACATCAGCCCTCGTGCAAATCGGGTAGGAAGCAGCCATGGAGGCTGCTCCTGGAAATTTGGCCCTGCAGAGACGCAGCCTCCGGGACTGCCGTGGGCCAGCTGCCTCGAGCCTTGGGGGGCGCCTGACGTCACGCTGCCCACCTACCCTTCTTCCCGTAGAGCTCCTGTCTGCTCCTTTTCTGCCACACGGAGCGTCTTTCCCACCTGCCTTCCTGTACGGATGGGGACATGTTTAAAGCTGAGAGTTACCCCTCAGCGCCCTGGACGAGGCCTGTGAATTCCTTAGGCTGCCCAGCAGAGGTGGCTCTGGGCTCGAGCCTTTCTCTTTTGTTCTGTCAGCTCAATGTTGAATGACAGTCAGCCCTGGCCACCCCTGAGCCCCGTTTGAGAGAAAGAGAGTGAGCCAGGAGCTGCTGTGGTGAGCTGTGGGGTGGGTTTTTCTGAGAGCCTGCCCAGCTCTCACGCCCGCCTCCCTGCAGGGATTGCCCCCCACTGCCTGGACGAGGGCACCGTGCGCAGCGTGGTGGTGGAGGAGTTTAATGGCAGCGACTGGGAGAAGGCCATGAAGGAGCATAAGACCATCAAGAACATGTCCAAGGAGTGAGCTCCCGCGCCTCCTGCCCAGGAAGGGCCTACAGCCTCTGCAGTCTGCTCCGGCCACCGGTGTCTTCAGGCAGCTCTTGTCCTCCCCTAGCTCAGATTTTGACATAGGCTAGTTGATACCCTTCTGTCCCCCTTCCTGACTTTTGTGTGATCTTCTAGAGAAATAAATATTTTTAACATTAAAGTGGTTCCTCTGGTTTATCGTCTTCTCTGTCCTTTGGGTTTGCTTCCAAGGCCAGTGGTTCAGCGACAGGTAATTACTGAGCACTGTTAATGGTTCTTGCAGCCATGGCCTGCCCAGGGGGTGGGGTGGGGGGGGATGGTGTCAGACGACAAACGAGAGCTGGTGAGTGGTCACAAGCCACCCGAGCTGTGACAAGAACATGAACCCAGGAGTCTGGAGGAGAAGCTAGTTGTGGAAGACCTCGGGGGGAGTGTGATGGGAGCCTGTTTTTGTTTTTGTTTTTTTTTTTTAAATCAATCAGCTTCTGATTATTTTTTTCCCCCGATTGTGGTAAAATACACAAAATTCTTTTCTAGTGCACAGCTCAGTGGTGCTGTGCCACCAATTTCCACAGCTCTTCATTTTGCTAAAACTGCGCCCCCTCTACCCATCAACAGTAACTTTGAGCCTATGTGTTTAAAGGAAGCAGGATTTGGGAAGAGAAGGGAGAGGCAGCTGTGGACAGAGGTGCGGGCACAAGATAAAGCCAGGCTTGAGGTGGGAAGAAGTAGAGGGTCAGAAGGAAATAGAAGCCGCCTGTGGCGTCCTGGTTCTGTCCTGTATGTGCTGGGAAGCCCTGAGGGCTCTAAACAGTCTTCTGGCCCGTACCCCATCCCCACCCTCTGTGTTTCATGTAGCTTTGTATCATAATTAGTGCTTTATTTATTATAACAAGATGCTTTCTTAAAGCATTCCGTCCATTACCAACTACTGGGTGTATACGTACATGCATAATGGCAAACACTTAGTAAGTATTGCTCTTTGCTTTAGGAAAGGGACTTAAATTATCTGGGAGGGAGAGTAGACCAGAAAAAAGCAGGAGGGGACATCCAGATGGACTGGGGTTCTGTGTGGTTACCACGTCAGCTGAAGGCCAGTTGGAAGGAGCTGGTAAAGCATTCTACAGCTGAAACAGGAGTATATTCTGGTGCAGTGAACATCCCCTCTGACCTGCATCCCTCTTGCAGTGGCATATAAAACATACAGTTTTGAGTCTCTTAAAAACAAATGCTAAGTCGCTTCAGTTGTGTCTTTGAGACCCTGTGGACTGTAGCCCACCAGGCTCCTCTGTCCATGGGATTTTCCAGGCAAGAATACTGGAGTGGGTTGCCATTCCCTTTTCCAGGGGATCTTTCCCACCCAGGGATCAAATACATCTCTTATGTCTCTGGCATTGGCAGGCGAATTCTTTACCACTCGATTCTGTATGTTTTTTGTTTTGCAACTTGCATTTTTTTTTTGTTTGGTAGCATCTTGCTCTTCTCATGTCCCCTGCATTGGGAGCGCAGAGTCTTAGCCACTGGACCACCTGGGAGTTCCCTTTGGGGAGGCGTTTTCCCTAGATTTGAATCTGATGTGTAGGCCACAAAGATAAATCCATGGAATTATGGTTGAACAAATTCAGTATAGACTGTTCTGTGTGTGTATGGGGGGCAAGCCTGCCTTGGAAAAAACATGAAACTACATGACATAGGATGGGATTCTAGAGACCTTTACATTTATTTTTAATAATTGCAGGTCTGTGTTAGGGAGTTGACAGACACTGTGCCATTGTGTGAACTGTTCCACTCAAGAACTTGAGAAGCTAGCAAGGTAGCTGTCATTGTCCTTGGCTTGGTTTGTGTTTGGTGGCTGTGGTTTTGTCACCCAGAGGAAGATGCTCAGGTCTGGCAGCCTGTTGGGTCTGCACAGCCCCCATTTTATTAGAGGCCGGGCAGTTTGGAGGACAGGGCCCTGGAACTCAGGCTGACACTGGGATGTCCTTGACTCAGGGAGACGGGCCTGCTCCAGACAGGCCCTGGGCTCCCTGGCTGTCTTTCCCTTGGTTCCTTGGATCCGAGAGCCCGTCCGGTTCAGAGGAAGTTCAGAGAGTTGATCCTCATGTAGCGGGAGAACAGCACATAGAGGCGGCGGAACCAGAGCAGCTGGCTGTGGTGGCAGGACATGGCTCTCTGGGGGGATGAGAGGAGTGGTTCTGGAGCTGGTGCCTGGCCGTGTGCTGTTTCCATCTGCCTCCTCCCACCTGCGCACTCCGAGCCACAGCGGGACCTGGCTTCCCCTGTGACCTTCGAAATCCCCTGCACTGGCCTCTAGTGGCTGCTTCCTGCCCCACTCCCCCATCTCCTGACATCCCCATCACAACAGCAGCCGGTCCTGATGCACAATCTCCATTAACAACCCTGTGAGCGAAGGGCTGTTACTGTTGCTTTTTTTTTTTTTTTAAACATATGAGGAAACTCATCCATCTCAAATAGCAAGTAGGTAGTAAAGCTGAAATTGGAACCCAGAGCCCTCAGGTTGACTCAAGCCTACATTCTTCACTCCTTTGCCCCGCCTATATTCTTCATCCTTTGGCCCCCTTACCCCTCTGCCCAGACTCCTCTGAATACAGCCACTCTGAGAAGAAAAAGAAAGGAAATGGTACCCATAGGTACAGGGTCTCTTTGCCATCCAGTGGGGGAACGTTATCCTATTATTCAGAACTAATGTAGCTTGGTTTCTAAATAGAATAGATCATAACAACTGATTTAACTAGATATACCCTATAAATATAGTTCCTGTTTTTCTGTAAGGACCATAACTAATGCTTATAATCTAAGCGAGTTGCAAACATTTATGTAAAAAACTCATTTTATATTCATTGTTTGAACATCCGTGGCTTTAGAGATGTAAATACCCCGTGATGACAGCAAGCTTGAAGCTGATAATGAGAACCATCACTGTATTCAAGCAAAAATATGAAATACTGTGGTTTCAACAGGAAATACAGCCACAATTTTTAAATAAAAATTTTTCTGAGTACCATTGGAACATATACATTACCATCTGTAAAACAGATAATGGGAGCTCAGTCTGGTGCCCTGTGATGCCCTAGAGGGGTGGGATGGGGTGGGAGGTGGGAGGGAGGTTCAAGAGGGAGGGGACATGTGTAGACATAGAGCTGATTTGTGGTGTTGATCAGAAGAAAACAATACAACATTGTAAAGGAATTATCCTCCCATTAAAACATTAAAAAAAAAAATTACTCTCAGAGTCCCACATGAGTTCTAGCCCTTGACCCTTTCCACTTCCATGGCAAGAATGCAAAGGGTTAAGGGCTAGAACTCCTGGGCAGCCTCGTCCCTCGCCCAGTGCTTCTCAGACCCCCCGCCCCACCGATCACCACTTTCCCAAGAGGGCCGCGCCTGGCCTGACTCCTCAACAGGCAGACAGTGGGCTGCCCACTGGTCTTTACTAAGGCTCCTGACAGGTCTGAGTCCTTAGACTCAAGCTGGAAGCCTGGTCCACATAAAAGAGTAAAAAACCCATAAATCAAAATGTCCAACCTTCAGGGGTTTGTGAACTGTTACATGGCATGTCCGTGCGAAGGAACACCGGCAGCCATTAAGATTTGAACACGTAAGGATGTCAGAGAAGCTGGTCATGATGTTAAAGTAGGTTTCAAACAGCAGGCTCTGTGTCACCCCATTTTACATACATATGTCAATACTCTTGTGTTTGAATGATTACCTGTACGGGATGGGGTTGCAGGTAGTTTTGATGAATGATTTTTATTTTCAACTTGCTTTTATGTAACTACTCCCAGACTTTCCACACTGAGCCTATATTGTTACTTGCTAGTTTTTCCAGCTTGTGCTGTTTTTAGGCTCAGAAGACAAGGTGCAAGTCCCTGAAGGTCTGCAGCTCCCAGTGTCTGGCTGTGGGCCCGCCCTGGGGACAGAACCACTTGGAAGACCTTGGGTGAGGGGCTTTGGGGGACCTGGGATGGGGCGGGGGGAGCGGTGTGGGGGCGAGGGGCAGTTCTCACCTGGGCCTGGGCTACCTCGCGTTGGGTGAGCACGAAGAGGGCATCGCGGGCGAGCAGCAGGGAGCAGGGTAGGTCCAGCAGATAGAGGTATTTGCGCAGCAGGTTCACAGACTGGAGCGTGAGCACCAAGCACCCTGCGGGGGCAGGGGAGATTGGGGAGACTTGCAGCTCCAGGCTGGTTTTCCTGAACTTTCAGAGGGTGAAAGGGCCCAGAACGCCTGCAGGACACCCTTTGTCTGCCCTTGCCCCCAGCAGGGAGAGGCTGGCTGCTGGAGGCCAGGGTCAGACCCAAGCGGGGAGTGGTACAGGCAGACTTTCTGTCTTAGGAGGCTGGAGACCTGGCTCCTGCTTGTCACCAGAGAACTCACGGGCTTCGAGAGGTCCCTTCACCTTAGTGAGCCTCAAGTTTCTCGTCTGTATGATGGGCTGTTGGTCATTTGTGAGTGTGGGACCTGCCTGTCTCCCACGTGCCATGTGCTTAGTTGCTCAGTAGTGTCTGACTCTTCGTGAGTACACACCAGGCTCCTCTGTCCATGGGGTTCTCCAGGCAAGAATACTGAAGTGGGTTGCCATTCCCTTCTCCAAGGGATCTTCCCAACCCAGGTCTCCGTCTCCTGCATTGGCAGGTGGGTTCTTTCCCACCAGCACCACCGGAGCTGTCTTCCAGGGTTGAACAAACACACCAGAGCTATGTTCCTGAGCCCCTGCAGCTTCACCAGCCAGAAGCCCACCCAGAGAGGGCATGCTGCCTGGGGGCCCATTGTTCCGCCCCCCAGGGCTCTCCTGTGAGGGGTGCATGTCCAGACAGAAACTGGCTCAGGGAGGGGAGGGCGGTCAGATGCCTTCCTGTGAGTTAGGAAGTGTTTCAGACCTGTCCAGCACCCAGCAGTCACCCACAGCCTGTTCAGTTACCTGGGGGATAGATGTGAGCTTGGATGGACATTCTGAAAGGACACTAGAGGTGGGATAGAGCTGGCCAGGGAGAAAGCCAGGCAGGCGAGGGGCAAGGCCCACAGACGTGGTTAACTTCCTGTGTCAGCCCATCTGGGTCCCAGGTTCCTGGTCAACATTGTTTCTAAGTGTGTCTGTGGGTTTCACATTTGAACTGGATGACTGGGGAAAGCAGAAGACCTGGGTAGGTCTTGTCCAGTCCATCAAGGGAGGGCCCGAGCAGAGCAGAAGTTAGAGGGAGGGAGAACGTGTCCCCTTCTGTCCAACTGCAGAGCTAGACCCTGGTTGTCTGCCCGAGACCAAGACTAACCCTATCGGCTCCCTGGTCTCAGGCCTTTGGACTCGGATTGATCGAGGGATGCCCTGGCTCTCCTGGGCCTCCAGCTTGCAGGTGGCGGATCCTGGATTTCTTGGGCTCCATAATCATGTGAGCCAATTCCTTCTTTATATTATTGTTGTTCTGTCGCTAAGTTGTGTCCGACACTTTGTGACCTCATGGACCACAGCAAGTCAGGCTTGCCTGTCCTTCCCTTCTCCGGGCGTTTGCTCAGACTCATGTCCATTGAGTCAGTGATGCTGTCTAGACATCTGTATGTATGTGTATAATATATACAGCAGCACATCTGTGTGCATCTCCTGTTGGTCTGTTTCTCTAGAGAACCCCAATGATACCACCTCCTCCCTCACACCCAGAGGGTACTTCTCAGTGGACACAACTTGACCGTGAGGCCTGGGGACCCCCCTGTGACAGGCACAGTGAGCTGAGTCAGGACAGTGTGGCCCCACCTCCCTGTCTGCCCCACTCCCGCCACTGGGCCAAGGGCAGCTCTCTGTATATTTAGCACTGTCACCCTAGAGGGACAGTAGCAGCAACCTGTTCCAACAGGGCCCGGCCTTACCTTTAGGTAACTTCCCTTCTGCGTGCAGGGTCCTGGCAGAGGAAACGGAGACAGTCCAAGTGAGAACCCTCTGCAGTTAACTGGAGGGGCTTGTCAGAGCCAGGCCTGCCCCACCCTGGGATCCCTCCACATAGGTTTCCAGGCAGGTTTTTGAACGTAAGTCACCACGGAGATTCCTCAAACCCCATACCTCTGGCTACAGCTGAAGGGGCTAGGGTGGGACCCTCATCCAAGGTCAGCCAATCTGGAGATGACCAGTGGCTTACGAGGTGCCCTGGTCCAAGCTGTGCCCATCAGAGATGAAAGTAACGACAATGGACTCTTCAGAGTTTTTCTCTTTTATGAGATTGTGATGTGAGTGTGGTGTGGTGGGAAAATATGTAAAGTGTTAATTGCTATTTCTTCCCTGACAGCCCCCTCCCCTTGCACACACCTTTTGGCAGTAAAGGCCATTCTGTGCTCACTGCCCTAAGAGGAGGCGTGAGGGGACTTCCCTGGGGGTCCAGTGGATAAGACTTGGCGCTTCCACTGCAGAGGGCGCAGGTTCAACCCCTAGTCTAATCCCTGGGAACTAAGATCCCACATGCTGTGCAGTGTGGTGAGAAAAAGTGTTTATCCTAAGAGGAGCGGTGAACTGGGTCCAACAGCAATATGAAAATGAACTCCTTGTTGTTTTGAAATTTGACAGGTGGGCAATGGGACAAAGAGTCCCCTTCCCCCACACTCCAACAAACAGACACATGGACTCATGGGGAAGGGATTCTCAGGAGCAAGGATTAAAGACAATAGGTTGGCCTGACTTACAGAGCCTGAGAAATAGAAAATGCCAAGCTCAGAGGCAGCTCATCCTGCACTCTGGGTGGAGCCCTGGGGATGAACTCCAAGGAAAGAGCTCAGAGGCAGATAGATCTAAGGGCAGGAGAGAGAGGCCCTGGAGACACACGTTCAAGCCCTGAAGAGAACGGGCACGTTCAGAAGAAGGGTGTAGAGTCAGTCCTTGACCTCAAGCTGCCCTCTCCCTTCCCTAGGCTGGGTCCAGCAAGCTCCTTGTGGGCCCAAGAGGAGCAGGCTCAAGAGATCAGGACATAAGCTCCAGGTCTGTATGACCCCAGAGAAGTCCCTCAAAATCTGTGAGGGTTGTTTTTTTTTTTTTTAACCAGTTAAATGCAGGTGGTAGTCATGGTTGTTAGTCACTCAGTCGTGTCTGACTCATTGCAACTCCAGTGGGCTATAGCCTGCCAGGTTCCTCTGTCCATGAGATTTCCCGGGCAAGAATACTAGAGCAGATTGCCATCTCCTCCTCCAAGGGATCTGCCTGACACAGGGATTGAATCCACCTCTCCTGCATTGGCAGGCAGATTCTTTACCATTGAGCTGCCAGGGAAGCCCTAAATGCAGATGCATGTCAGTAAAATGGAGTGGCTGCAAAGAACAGGTGAGATTTCAAATGACGCGCACATCCTCCTCCAAAGAAAGATCTGAAATCAGGAGGGTGCCCATTCATGGATCCCAGCCCTCAGACCTCCCCGTGAGCTACAAGGAGGTGAAATTTGGCTGTAATGTTTCCTGAGGCCAAAGCAGAGGGAGGAATCCAGTCAGTTCCTGCATTTGGCTGCATCTGGGGACAGAGAGACTCAGCTATTAGGAGACAAGGTCATAACTCTAGGACTCGAGGGCGCCTGCTCCTGGGAGGACGAGGTGAGATGACCCATGGGGTGGAGAGTGATGAGGAGACTGCCCATCCCAGCCGCCCAGGGAACTGGCGCACCATTGTACCTCACAGCTGCATTCAGAGCCACGTGGTTGCTGTGCCCGCTCACGCCCCCCTCATCAAAGGTCACCACCTGCAAAGACACAGAGCTTCACTCCAGACTGAACCGTCTCTCCCACCTCTGTGCACACCACCTAGGACAGACAGGAGGGCCCAGAACCCTGAGCCTGTTCGTGTTCCGAGTGAATCAGAACTGACTTGGGCACGGGCCGGTGGTGTGACCGCCGTTCAACCCTGTAGCTGTGGGTTTGACGATGCTCTTGCTCTTGGACAGCAGAGAAGAGTGGAACTGGGCCACAAGAGAAACCTGGGCTCGGCATGTCTGTGTTTCTTATCTGCGTGGCCTCTTATCAGCACGTTTGGTTTCCCTACTGGCTGCTGCGTGACCTTTGTTCACGTCGATGCCGTCTGATTATTCGGTCCCTCTCCTGGTGCTGCATCGAGGGCATGGAAGCGCTAGGGGACAGTGTCCACCATGCCCTGGGGCTCACAGAAGCCTGTGGCTCCTCGTAGGCTGCCTCTGCATCCACATTCTCAGACCAGCGTCTGCTTCTCCAACTATAAGCCTCGCCTAGGCTCCAGATTCATTTCTGCACAGATGACTTTAAAAAATCCAAAGAATAATTTGAATAATAATAATAATAAATGTAAAAGAATAGCTGGGATAAGTGAAAAAAAAAAAAAAAGATGTAGGAAAGAAGACAGGACTCAGAGAAAGGCACAGGTATGGCTGGTTGAGGTGGGATGGAAAGAGGGGACCAGACAGCCAAGAAAGCAGGATGATGGAGGAGCAGGGGCAGGTGAGCCAGCATTTAAAGAAAAACACTGTTGACCTTGAGTTAATAATTAGTGAGACTGAATTATGGGAACACGAGTTTCATTATACTCTTTGCTCTACTTTTGCATGCTTGAAATTCTCCACAGTGGGAATTCTTTTTTAAAAGGCTTATAAGCAGATCCCATTATGGTGGGTATGTATCATACATTAGTGAACCCTAACATGAACCTGGGGTGATGATGACATGTTAGTGTAGATTCACTGCAACAGGTCGTGGGGCCAGGGGTACGTGTGTACTTTCTTCCCAGTTCTACTGTGAACGTAAAATTGCTCTGGAAACTACAGTGTGTTACTAAAAAAAAAAACAACACTTCACCCTAGAACTCAGGTACCCCATTCTGATCCCATCCTTCTGTGCAGCTAAGCGTGGAGTGCCTAAGTCCACTCTCACCTCTGACCTAGTTACCCTGATCCTCCAGCATATCATAGAACGTCGCTACTGGGAGCAATTTCATCTTCAGTGTCTTGGTTTTCTCATCTGTGAGGTTGGAAGAGTGAGGCCTCCCTCCTTTCTCTCTGGGTCAAGGTGAAGGTCAGATGAAGCCCCGTGGGAACATTTAGGACCTGGACAGCAGCCCAGGCCGAGTGTCTGCTGCCCTTGGTGGAGGTAACTCTGGGACGTGATTGTTTCAGGCCAGCTGGGGCACACTCCCTGGTCTGGGGGCTTGGGGCCACTGCAGTTCATCCCCATCACTTAAAATTCTCCAAGGTCTTGTTTTCTGTTTATCCCACATCTTCCAACAAGCCCCCAGTCTTCCTGCCTTGAGGAGGGCTGAGCTGAACCATCTCCACTCCCTGGTCTCGTGCAGATTAGGACCTGGCAGCAATGGTGTCTGTCCACCTTCCCCCCTAAACTGCAGAAACCTATGTTCAAATGAAGCCTTCCCCGACCCCAGTAAACAATAGGCTGCTTTCACTTCTCTAAGACAGTGGCTCACGGGACATGGTCCGTGAAGGATAAACAGCAACACCTGTTACCGGGGCTGGACACACAGTAAATACTGTCCCACAGAGGGCTGAAGAGGTCACAGAGGGCTTCTGCGAGAAGGTGGTCTTAGCTGGGCCTGGACCACAAGTCAGTTTTCAGGGAAACAAACTTGGGAGATTCTGTGTCTGTGCCCTGACCTCCTCCCCAGATGTTCAGAGTTGCGGCTGTGATGTGGTCTAAACACTAACTCGGCCCCTAAGTGAGGTCCAGCCCTGTTCACCAGCAAGTGGCACCTAAGGAAGGGATGGTCAGAGATGGCCCAATTCACAAAGATGGGAGTTTATTCCACAAGCAGGAGTGACTGAAGACCAGTTGTTTCTATGAACCAAAGCCAGAGAGGAGAGAGTCTGGGGACTAGCCGTGGGCAGGCCACTGCCCGGGAAGACAGGGTGCCAAGGGTCGCTGTGGTACACCTCACAGGCCCTGCCCTGTGCCCAGCCGGCCCCAAGGACCAGCCCTGTCCACCGCCAGGCTGTCGAGCCCTGAGAGGGTCTGAGTGTGCTCTGAGAAAAGCAGGGCAAGAAGAGCCAGGCCAGCTATCACCTCAGACCCTGAAGAAAGGTACATCCAGGAGGGGTGGGCCTGCAGCTGTTGGTGACCATTCGTCCGGCCAGAACAAAGTGCAAAGCTGGTGCAGATCCCTGGTGGGTCCAGCGGCCCCCCCTGCACCTCCAGCTCCACATGGTTCACAGCCAGCTGGCTAGGTGCCCCTTCTGGCCCATGTGGATGAAGCTCCCGTTGTATTTATGTCATTAGAGCACAAAGGCAGTCTGACTAATCCACAAAAATCTGCTGTTAACAATGGCCTAATAATTCAGTTCACTCGGAGGATGCATCACTGATAAAAGCCTGATAGAGGGGTTCACCTTCTAACAAGGATTAATCAAAATGTAAAAGTCAATGGCTGGGCTTTCAATGGTAGGATTTAGGTATTAACTCGTGAAGGGTTATTATTATTTTAGATGTTCCCGGCACCTTAAGATGGACTGCTGGCAGGATGCAGGCTGGCAAGGCCTGAGCGTCGAGGTGGGTGTTCCCGAGCCGTCTGCCTCTGCAGGTGAATCAAAGGCCCACGGGAGCTCTAACCAGGAATGTTCTCCCCACAGGGGCTGTGGATTTAGCCTCGTATTTTCTAGAGGGAAAAGTGGAGGCTCAAGTCCCTAGCTTCATGCTTGCTGACCTCGGGCAGCTTCTGAGCCTCTAGGAACCTCAATTTCCTTGATGAAGGTGAGCATTAGGACAACACTTACCCCCAGAGTTACAGTGACACCCTAACATGAAAACACTTGTTCTGTGTCAGTGTGTCGTGGCATAGGCTTGTGGGGACCTGGGTTTTCAGGGGGGCAGCATGGAGGTGGGGGGCGGGTGAAGAGGGCACAGTCTGGGAGAATCTCTGCCTCCCCCTGAGCTCCGTGGTTACACAGGAAAGGTGCAGAGAGATGGGCCGGGTCTCTGCTGGAGAGGGGGGTGTGTAACCTTACCAGGGTGATGCCGTTGGCCTCTACGTGCTGGAGGAGGACATCAGCTGCCCGCTCTGGGTCCCAGCGCACGTCTGGGTCATCTGGGAAATCCCTGGAAGGAAGAAGCACACGTTGGAAACCATTTCTAACAGGGTGCAGGCTCTCCCCTCAGCTCCGGTAGGTGTGTGCACGTGTGGGGTGCTGAGGACGTACAGACCAAACACAGCACACTCAGGGGATCTTGGCTCATGTCATGGCTGGGTGGTTGGGAGGGAAGCAGATCTGTCCACAAGCTGGGGGACAGGTGTGGTCCTCAAGGGCTGAAACATGGGGCAGAACTCTGATGTGTCTCAGTAAAAGTCATGGGAATGGCTTGTTGGTAAAAGTACTCAATTACCTCATTTAACCTCAGACAGCTGTGAAGGAGCCTGGACAATGCAGGTGAGTAGCCTGAGTGTTGCAGGGCCATTAGGGTTGGGTTTGATGCAGGTTTTCTGGCTTACAGGGGAGGTTTCAGCCCCAGGGAGGTGACCCCAGGGGTAGGGGGGTCTCTGCAGGCCACTCCAGGCCTTGTTTCTGTCCACTATCACCACCACCTGCCGATCTGAGGCCAAGGCCATGGTCTGACTCCAGTGTGAAGACCTTATTCATAGTCTTATAACTAGACAGCCATCTCTGCTGCCTCAGGTCCTGGGTGCCACCCCCGTATGCTGGGGGGACAGGGCCCTCCGATTCCCACCAGGAGGTAGATGTCACCTCTCCATGGACACAGGCCATTATCAGACTCATTTAGGACTATGGTCAAAGGAGAGGTGCTGAAAGTTTTTTAGGAGGAAAACGACATGCATCTCAGGGCAGAACAACACAGCGACTTTCTGCACTTCCTTGGCTGCCTCTTCCACACCCCAAGGAGCCTCCTGCCAGGTTGACTTTGAAAGCACCATCCTGCCCATCGTTCTGTCAGGGGCCCCCTAATGCTCCTGCCTCTACAGGACAGACAGCTCAGCTAGCGGCAGGGACTGGACGGGGAGGAAGGGAGAGGCAGGGACCAGGATGAAGTTCGTTAAGCCTCATTCCTGGGGAGCGGGCTGAACATGGGATGGAGAACAAGACCTGCCGAGCTTGAGCAGGAAGAAATTCAGGAATTTTCCAGGGAAATACCCTGGAGTGAGAACAACTACACACGTCCCCTTGGCTGGGAGGCCCGCATAAATGCACCAAGGCGTCATTTTGGAAACCAGGGAACAAGGAGACAATCAGAGGTTGGCAAGGCCAGAAGCCACTTTTGCCTCTAGGGAAAGACATCAGAGCCTAGGAATGGGAGTGGTTGATGGTAGGAAATATGAGGGCAGCAGCTGGAGGCCTGGAAAACATTCAGCTGCTGACAGAGGTGCTGTGAGGAGCGGGGAGACCTTCCAGTCTCCTATCACGGCCAACTATTGGTCAAACCTACTGAGAAGTCAGTTTATTGGCAAGGAAGGCAGGAAGCATGGTTGCTGTTGGTCCAGGTGTCTGGCAGTGCTCGAAGCAAGTGTCCAGTGGATGTTTGCTCTCAACTATGCCCCAGACTTGAGCCTAAACCTTCAAGGGTAGCAGCAGTCTGCCCTTCTGGGAATGCAATTGCCACTAGCTGCCCAGGTACAGAAGGCAACATGGAGGTCACTGCTGGGCAAGCAAGAGTTCAGGCTCAGGGGAGAGAGACAGGGCAGCAGCTGGTGGGCAGCTCCACCCCAGCAGCTCTGCTTGAGCTCTGCCTATGATCAGAGTGGCCCAGTGTCACCAGGGGGCATCGTGACGCCAGGTTGGATGACAGAACACACGAGTTCCAGTTCCCTGCTCACCAGGTGCCCGGGGCCTGTGCCGCATCATCCCTAGAGCTGGGAGGACCTGGGCCACACTGGTGACCTGAGAGCCCTAATGTCTAGGACTTTGTGTCATACGCAATTTTTGAGTGAGGTTGAAATGCTGACTGTGGATGGTAGTTTTTAGGAAAGAGTAGGGGCCTTGGATGAGCTTCCCAGGTAGCACTAGTGGTAAAGAACCCACCTGCCAGTACAGAACACAACAGACTCAAGTTCAATTCCTGGGTCTGGAAGATCCCCTGAAGGAGGGTCTTCTCATGCCAGGTGCTGCATTAAAGTGCTTGATTGGTTGACTGAGCCAAAGGTAGCTATACCTGCCTTTAGAGGTTGAAACATACAAGTAAGAACTTTAAAAGATAGCAAATTTACAAAAACAGATTAGAGGCGAAAAGAAAAGGAAAAAAGGGGACTTCCCTGGTGGTCCAGAGGCTAAGACTTCTTGCTCCCAAGACAGTGGGTCTGGGTTGGATCCCTGATTGGGAACCTAGATCCCACATGCCATAACTAAAGATCCCACATGCTGCAACTAAGACATGGTGCAGCCAAATAAGTAAAAAAAAAAAAAGAAAAAAGAAAAAATTGAATTGCAGGGGGAGCAAGGCATCCCCAGGGGACCACTTCCCCTCAAAGCAGGAAAATATAAAATTTTATATTTTATTAAAATTTACTTAAGTGTAGAAAAAGTGACGCCTGTGAGATCAACATCATGAGTTGTCTTTTGCCTACGAGTGAAAGTGTTAGTCACTCAGTCGTACCGACTCTTTTCAACCCCATCAACTATAGCCCGCCAGGCTCCTTTGTCCATGGGATTCTCCAGGCAAGAATACTGGAGTGGATAGCCATTCCTATCTCCAGGGAATCTTCCTGACCCAGGGACAGAACCTGGGTCTCCTGCATTGCAGGCAGATTCTTTACTATCTGAGCCACCAGGGAAGACTTTTGCCTAAAGTTCAGCCCTAATCAACTCAAGGCTTGGGTCCAAGTAGTAACTTTTGCAATAGTTCCTTTCTTCTCTGATGGATTAACAATCCCGCCTTAGATAAACATGCCAGCAGCGGTGTGAACACAGGTGAGTCAGCCGGCCGGCCCCTCCTCAAGGGAGTGTTGGTAAACGGCCTTTGCCCTATTTTTCTTGGTGCTGTCCTGCGTTTTGCTGGCTGGGGTCAGGGAGGAGGACTGGAACTGAAGCTGCCATTGAGATGCATGAAGTAACTTAGGTCTGAAAGTGAGGCAGAGCAAAGTCGCCAAAAGGAAGGCGTCCTGGCCCTCCACCCGAGCCCCAGCCAACGCATCTCCTATCACAGGTGTTGTAGTCACTGTGGGTTTTCTGTCATCTGATGCATAACCAGATCTTGATTTAGATATGCCATCATTTTGTAAAGCCTCTATTTTACTGATTATGTAGGTTGTTTCCAATTTTTATTATTGAAAAAAGTTGTAACTAGCACTGTTATAACGTAACGCTTCATATGAATCTCTCAATATTTCCTTGGGATAAAATCCTAGTGATGTCACTTGGGAGTCAGAGATGAAGCAAGGAGAGCCTTGCAGATCTCCCTGTGTGGAGCAGTGTTAAGAGAAGGAAGTGGAAAGTGGGTTAACTCACCAGGAACAGCATCACGGAGAGAGAAAGAGCATAGGCTGGAGGGAAAGACGAACAGGGACAGCTCTTATCAGAGCTCCACGCCTCCTAAAAATCTCAGGTGTTTTATACCTACTTCCTTATCCTAATGACTCATGAAAGTGGAAGTCTCTCAGTCACATCTGACTTTTTGCGACCCCACAGGCTGTAGCCCGCCAGACTCCTCTGTCCATGGAACTCTCCAGGCAAGAATACTGGAGTAAGTTGCTGGTTCCTTCTCAAGGGGATCTTCCCAACCCAGGGATCAAACCCAAGTCTCCTGCACTGCAGGTGGATTCTTCACTGTCAGCCACCAGGGAAGCTGGAGAAGGCCATTTACACTTTTCTACAGCTGGAGAGAGTTGGTTGGAAGGGAATGAGTTACACGTGGAGTGAGAGGCACTAGGGCTGGCTGAGCGGGGCTGCAGTGGAACACGTGTGTTGTCAGGAGCCCCACTTCATCTTGGTAACCAGCCCTTCTCCTGGGAAATCACGTGGATGTCATTCAGCAACAAGAGTGAAACGGAGCAGCTCCAACTGGGACTTGAACTCACGGTCTTTTAACTGAGACCACTACACCTGGTCTCAGGACTTACTGAAGATCAGGTTCTTGATATCTCATCACAGAAAGAATTCAGTGAGAGACAAAGTGATAGGTAAGAAGTGGATTCATTTAGAGAGAGACACCCCAGACAGAGTGTGGGCCATCCCAGAAGCCCAGACTGGCACAGGGTAGGGGGTTGTCAATAGGGGTGGTAAATTCATGAGCTACCGAATGTGAGGAGCGTTCCAGCTGTTTCCGGGACAGGGTGGGGATCTGCAGGAATAGGGCCACTGTCCACTTTTTGACCTCTATGGTTGGCCTGGGAACTGTCATGGTGCCGGGTGTGTCACTTAGTTTGCTGATATGTTACAATAATGAATGAATACTGAGGCTCAAGGTCTAGTGGAAATCGAGGGGTTGGCCATTTTGGACCTATTTGGTTCTAATTAGTTTCTGTTGTGTCCTCAGGCTGTGTGGTTCTTTGAAGTGTTGTGCCGGCCCACTTCCCTGCTGTTTCAATGGGAGAACAGAGGCCAAGCCTTAAGAGTAGTCAGGTTTCATATTTAAGGGACATCTGGACTTGCCATACCCAACCTTAGATATGTGTGAACCATGCAGTGGGTTTGCTTCAGCTGTGGACAAGGATTCTGAAGCTGCTCACAGCTCTCCCCAAACCTAGGTGTGAGCAGGCCCGTGGCAAACAGTAATAAAGTTACCAAGAGGTCCCAGAAACTTCCTTCAATTATTAGCAAGCTACTTCTCGGCTTTTATCGCAATTTTAATAAAAGGATATGGAGATACCTCTGGTGCTGGTGTGCCTGGGTAGCTCTGCTAACACGGAAAGCTGAATAACTCTTTCTGGATGAGACAGAGGATACGGTGGCTGAAAACAGGTTTCTGGCCAGCTTTTGCCAAGTAGAGCGGAGATGACACCTCTGAAGACTTGAGGACAAGGACAAGCAGGGGTTGCATCAGCCACCCCCTGCAGGAGGACTGCAACCTGCAGAGACCTTCAGCTCAGAAATGAAGTGTCTGGCAGGTCACACCTTGAACCTAGATTCTTGATTAAGAGACCTGTGGTCGCT